GAAAAAGATGAATGAGAAATTATGGGATTAGAGGCATTTTTAGGGTCTTACCTCTCGAAGATAAGTAATGTATCAATTATAGAAGTTAAATTTATCTTGTGGAAAATAAAGATATCATGATAATTACATACCCCCATGTGACAAGTAAGGTAACACAATGTAGCACATAATATTTAAAACCATCAAAGGAATATGAAAGTGGTATTTTTAACCAATTGTACAGTTTTGCTTTGGAATTAAGTTAATGTCCTTTACTAGTTAAATCAATTACCAGAAGAAACATAGGCCTGAATTTTTGTGCAAATGATTTATCAGAGTAGTGAAGCTCAAGAGATATAAGGAGAAATATATCTTCTCCTAAAACCTTCCTTGGTCTAGCACAATCTGCTCCCACTGGGAAAAAGAGGCCCTACCCTGATTAGGTAGGTCATGTTCAGCCCTCTATTTCCACTGCATTGGTATAACCTGGGCCACACTTCAGTGAAGTCACTGTGCTCTATGGTCATACGCAGCATCAATTTACTCTTCTTAATCCTCATTTCATAGGCTGCTTACTTGAAAGCTCTTTTCTTCATTTGACAGATCCAGTCTTGTTCCCTTACCTGCTAAGGGTATATGGGTTCCATTTAGATTTGAAATTAGAGAGACACTGAATTCATCTATGGGATTACTCTACATTTCTACCTGTATCAAAGGTGTTATGCACCACAGTTTCTATTACCAACACAGGAAATAATTAAATAGCAGTATATTTTCCTGTTACAATTTCCTGTTTTTAAAACTTCCATAATAGCATGGAAATTTTTAAAGTTTGATAGATTGAGGCTGAATTTAGGAATTTGATAATAAAATCTACTTAAATACCCTGATATATGCAGCTCAATGGAACAGAGGTAGACATGTTTTAGTCAGGCAGATTTCAAGTTTTCTAAGACTCTCTTACCGTGTTATAGGTGAAATCAACAATTTGCATATATACCTTAAATATACATGTATTATATATCCATTTAACAAATTTTAATAGGCTCTCCTAGGTCCCTGGCTGCCTTTTTCAATCGATTTTCATTCTTTACATACAAATTTATTTAGTGGAAATCTGTCTTTAGATACAAGTTTCTTTATTGATATTTTGTTTATTAGTACTTCACTGATACTTCATTTGTTTACAATAAGTACTTTTGGTCTTAATTCCATTTTATCCTTCATGTGTTTAATAAGCAATATTTACTGAATCTCTGCTACAAGCCTGCCATTGAAGACTAAGTACAAAATTAGAAACAGGGAACGTTCAGATCATCACTTTTAACCAAGCATTAGTTCATGTTCAGTCCTCTAATTTCACTGCATTCTTTCATAATTTATAAACTGGTGTGACATTTCTATGAATACCAGGTGTCCTACTACCTCTGCAACAATGAGTCAGATTTTGAAACTCATCATATTAATGATAATTAAGATCTCTTCTTCAGTACAACCAAGTCAGTGTTCAAAACTAAGCATATCTTGCTCTGGAAACCTTCTTTAAGCATAAAATGTGGGATTACTATTAGTGGACTGCTGTGCTAGTCACAAAGAATACAGAACAGTTTGGGGATAGATAGGTTTTAACTAATACAGCCCCTGCAGCAGTCTGCATTATCAATACAGACATCACCACAAAGAGTAAGAGAGAAATTATAAGGAGACACATGAAGAAAAGCTCAGAAAGTGTTTATCTTCAGATAGCTCCCAAATGCAGTCACTTCACTATAAACATTGGATACTCAAAAGACTCAAAAAAAGCAATGACAAAAACAGAGATAAACATTGGTGCTACATAAAAAATAGATCTAAAGTGAATCTGAACCCAAATTCCACCACCATGCCTCAGTCTATTTAAGGAAATTGTTAAAAAACCCTATCAATAATGAAAGCACTGAAATATGCCTTAGCTAGAACATACAACCAAAAACTTTCTCTTCTTCTATCTTGCAGATGTATTTACATCACCCACCTCTGAAGTTCTTTGTGCCACTCACATTTTAACTCCAAAGTATAGACACATATTCATGAGACTCTCAGGGAACCCTTCTCCTGCTTTCTCATATGGATCACCACCTTATTTTTCATTTAGTATTTTCACTTAAAATATGAAACACCTTGTTGGACTTTTCTGACAAGTCATGGTACTCAAATTCTTCCTTACTAAGATATATAACCAATAACAGAGATTTCTTTAAAAAATTAATAATTTAGTTAAGAATCACCTGTGAGTACTAAAACTACTGTGTAAAAGTTTCATTAAAAACATAATATCTACATAGTTTCATATGATTTCCCTACAAAATATTTGGAAGTCTAGTGGACATCAACTGAACCAAGTACTCAAAATTAACTTCACCAATAATGGGAACAAAGTGACATCATTTGTCATTGACGTGATCCACCGAGGAAGACTGAGAATACCTCACTTCTGAAGTATCCGTGCCTGAAATGCATAGCCTGAACCTTTTCGTGAGAGATGACAAAATTTAAAATTTGAGGCATCCTCTTAAAAATTGTTAGCTGTTACTTTTCAAGAATACCAATGTCATCAAAGGCAAAGAAAGACTGAGGCACTGTTTCATATTAAATAAGACTAAAGAGACAGGAAAAGAAGACTAAAGAGAAATGACTCTTGAATACAATGGGATCCTTTCCTGGATCCAGGATAAGGGGAGAAATTTCCATAAAGAACATCTCTAGAACAACTGGTAAAATGTAAACGTGAATTGTATATTATGTTACACTTTTATATTAGTAATACATTTCATAATTTCGACCTTTTTTGAAGTCAGAGTCTTACTCTGTGACCCAGACTGGAATGCAGTGGTACAATTATGGCTGACCACAGCCTCAAACTCCTGAGCTCAAGTGATCCTGCTATCTCAGCCTTCCAAGTAGCTGAGAGTACAGGAATGCGCCACCATACACAGCTAACTTTTTGATTTTTTGTAGAAATGAGGTCTCATTGTGTTGCCAATGTTGGTTTCAAGTCATTTTTCTGCCTTGGCCTCCCAAAGGGATGGGATTACTTAACTTTGAAAAATTCTATCAAGAGTCACCATGTCTGGTCTGATTTCGAAATTTTTACCAGGGTTAATATAAGAAGATGCTCAGGCTCTTATAAAGTAAATAGTGAAGTATTTTTGGTTTAAAAAACACAATGTCTGCAACTTAATCACAAATAGTGCATAAAATAACACTATGTATGAAAAAACAGTGAGAAAGAAAGGAAAAGGAAAGGAATAGAAAGGGAGAGAGAGAACACAACAATGCAGAATAAAAGTAAATCTGGGTGAAGAGTAGATCAGGTTTATCTATATGATTCCTGCAACTAAATTTAAAATTAGTTCAGAAATAAAAAGTCAGAAAAATGATGGTATAATTAGGGACTTTATGAATTTCCAAGAAGCACGGAATTTAGAGAATGTTAATGGTTTCAAGCTCTAAAAAGACAATGTTATTGGGATTAGAGGAAAAGTAGGGAGTATTGTCATGTATTATAAATCACCCATAACTAGTTGGTCTTTCTTATCCACGGCCATTTATTATTGTTTAAATTAGACTTATGTTAAAAATACCATTTTCACCTATTAGATTAGCTTCAAATTAAAAGAATTGTTAATACCCATTATACATAAGTTTTTATGAAAATCAGCACTGCTATGAAGCCACTGCTCTCTGATGGTCTAGAAAACATTTTTAAGGAAAATTTCACTATATTTACTGAAACCAAAACCACACATAACTGATAATTCAACAACATCACATCTATCCTATACAATCAGAAATTCAGCATTAGAAGATATATAATTTTATATATATTTATATATATATTACAACATTATATGTAGCAGAAAAACAAACAAAAAGTTAACCTGCGTTTCCCAAAATAGATTGGGCCATAATATTACTGTACAACCAATAAAAAGTCTATAGGTATCCTGTATTTATTGATTTGTAAATACATCCATGATATATTAAAGAAAACTGGAAGTTACAAAATAACATTGACCATAGTGATCACAAATCTCTAAATGAAGTCCACATAAGCTGTTATAAAATAAGAGAAGCTACTGACCACTATAACAAAAATGATGAACTCTTGCCAGTCCTAGAAAATAGGAATAGAAGAGGAAGAATGGACACGGATTGCTTTATATCATTGAGTAACTCATTCATTCTTGATGGCTCTGTTTCAATGAACTAGGAGCCAAGACTAAGTGAAAAGGAGATATAAAAGAAAAAAATGACACAACACTCAGCTTTAAGAGACAAGAATTCAAAGGCTTAAAGAAAGTTCCCTCAGCATTTCTTAGCTGTACTTCACATGTTGAGGATTCAGAAAAGTGACATGGGACGTGAAGACAGTCTCTCCCTTGTGGTTTCTATATCTAGCCACCTTCCTCAGGGTGATAATAAAGCTTTGCTGTAGATTAAGGGTCAGGTCAGCAAACTACAGTCTGTGATCAAATCTGACCTAGCAATTAATTTTTTGGGTAAATAAGTTTTACTAGAACACAGTCTCACTCATTTGTTTATCAATTGTTACAGGTATCTTCGCACTAAAATGGCAGAATCGAGTCGTTGCAAGAGGACTGGTCCTTTACAGACAAAATTTGCTGCCTTCTGGCACAGATTAAAAAACACTATATCTTGTATTTTATTATGTAACTGTGTGTGACTGGGACATTCATATACTTAGATCTAGGAAAGAATTCTGAAAATATCAACATAAGAAATAATGTGAAATAGATTTACTTTGCAAGTACAAAAGGAACTTCTCTGCAGGTAAAATCAGTGTGTTTTGGAAAGGAATACACATTCTACCTTCATTTTGCTTTAGATTCTAGTTGGCAATGAGCAAAACAATGTAACAAAAAAGCAGACACTGATGACTGTACATATTTATGAGATTTCAAATTATTAAATCCTGTGATGGTAAAAGTAACTGACACTTAAGTAAAGTGATTATTATATAGTCTTAAAAATTCTGCAATTTTTTTATTGCTAAATCTACTATAAAGAAGTAACATCATCAGTACATATATATACTTGTATAAACCTATACATGAAGACAGGTTGGGCAATGCAGTTAGTAGTTTCCTGATGGAATGTGCAGTTTATGTTCCAGAAGTAGACAATAAAAACTTGAAATAAACAATATTTTATATGAAGCCCACTTAGGCTATACAGAAAACAAATGAAAATCAAGGCAATGTGGGTAAAAAAGAAATCTCTTGAGTACACTGAGATTTTTATTCCAACCCTAAATATATATTTCTTGATACTTTCTCATACAAAGAAAATGAGTGTACCACATGTTCTTTAAGATGGCATCAAAATGGCTCAAAATGTCAGGGCAAGGGTCTGGCTCTCCCATACATGCCCACAGCTGCCATGGAACCATCTTAGGTTTAGGCATAGGGGAAGATGTAAACTATAGTCAGTCTCAAATTCAGATCTAGATCCTGATCTAGAATGAGATCCATCAGGTTCAACAAAAAGGTAATTATATAAGGTCTAGTCAATTTAAGACAATCCTGTTTGGGACCTGTTCAAAAACTGTGGGCTCCTAATTCAAATAAGAAAGAAAGAATCTTACAGATGGCAAAACAAACCAACAAAAAAACCTGGCATACCACAGGCATTTGGCATCTCACCAAGCCTGGTTATCATCAGGGGAGTGATTAAGGTGTCCATGGGATTGACTTAATTACAACAACTACACATAAATCCATTTTCATTTGTAAAGTAAAATATAAATTAAAAAATATAAAATAAGTAACATACACTAATAGAGGGAGGTACAGAATATATTGAATAGACCACAGAAAAGAACTTAAAAACACTCCAGGCAATTACTTTCCCCCAAAGCAGGTCACTTCTTTTCCTGGGCACACATCTATAAAAGTTCTGCCCCTTGAGATACAAAGACGAGACAAAATCCGAGAAAGGAGCAATAACACATGTAGTTGATGCTGTAAATGGAGCCACTGTAGAAGGTCCTATTGTCCACATGGTCATCACCTGGGAGAGTACAGAAGAGCAGATTTCAAATGGAAATAAACAATAGGTTATAATGCAGCCATGCCTGGTTACAGAAGGAGGTCATCTGCAAGTGAACTGTTTCCTGGCACAATATAATCAAACAACTCCCAATATTCTAATTTTAAATAACCCCCAACCTAACAAAACCAAGTAAACATACTGTATGAAAATTATGAAACTGTCATTTTCCTTCCTTCCTCTCCCCTTATCATTTGAGTACCCATTTCCTACTCTAAATTATTTTCATGCCATTAAGCAACAGAGTCATTATTATATTATTATCATTATATTATTTATTTATTTATAGACAAGGACTCACAATCTGTCGCCCAGGCTAGAGTGCAGTGATGTAAACATATCTCACTGCAGATTTGAACTCCTGGGTTAAAGCAATACTCCCACTTCAGTCTCCCAAATAACTGGGACTAAAGGCATGTGTCATCTCACCCAGTATGCATTTTATTTTTAAAATTTTTTGTAGAGATAGGGTCTCACTATGTTTCCCAGACTGATATCAAACTCCTGGCCTAAAGCAATCCTCCTGCCTCAGTCTCCCAAAGTACTGGGGTTACAGGCATAAGCCACTCCACTCAGCCAATTCATTCTTCGAACAGCATTTCTTGTGTAGTTTCTTAGTGCTAATTTATATACCAGTACGTGGATTAAGACAAAAAAAAAAACAGTACAAGAAAACACTAATAACACTAATAATATACTCCTTATATTCCATAGCACTTCATGGAAATCTTTCCACAAACCAAAACCTATTATCACAACACCCACATATCTAATCCTCCCACTTCGCTGGATGCTTCTTGTGCAACTTCTGATGGTAATAAATATATTAAAAAATTCTGATTTATTTAAACATTCCTTACATATAACCTCAAAATAATCACATAGATCACAATGTAGGTTTTATGAGAAAGAAGTTTAACTTCCATTAACTCAAGAATATACAATCAACACAGCCAAATGAATAGCTTACAAATCAGAATACAGGCCTTAATGCTCTTACCTGAAGGAAAGGTCTCTATGGTAAATGCTTGTAAAAAGAAAAGAAAAAACAAAGGAATGTTTGAAAAGATGTGAAGACTATTACATCATCACATGAAGGGATGTTAATAATCTACTTTCACTCCCACCCCTATATTAAAATATTCCTCCCTTGTTTGTTCACCTTACCTACCCACTGATAATATTATCATAAATCATGTACCTAGGACTAAAATTCAACCTGTTGCTAGAATTACAACCCATATTATTTGCAGTGAATTCTACTTAAAGATTTTGCTCTCTAAAACATTTTTATACTCCCCACCTTTTCCCCCCAAAACTGCCTTTCTTCTTTGTCTTCCTCCATACATCTACCATTGAAGCATTTAATATTTTTTTACTAAAGGGTCTTGCTGTTACTCAGGTTGGTCCTGAACTCCTGGGCTCAAGTCATCCTCCTGCCTTGGCCTCCCAAAATGCTGGGATTATAGGCATGAGCCACTGTGCCTGGTCTGATGCATATATTCCAAAATATGTATTTGCTACCAGATGGCTTAAATTTACTGAGTATACAGACAAAAAAGATGATAATTTATCCACATAGCATCACATCCCATGGTGAGAGCACATAATAAATAGTAACCCAAATCCATATAATTGACATTATCAACACTATATCATGGCTTAGGAGCCCCTTTATCTCTTTTATTTCATCTAACTGATAATCACTTCACAATCTAACAATCTTGTAAGTTTTGTGGAATTCATATATGATGTGGAATTTTAAAATATTATAAATTGAATTCAACATCAAATTGGTCAAAAATAAACAAATAGTATACTACAGTTACTGATTCTTACCAGAATTTTTGAAGACGGAAGTCCATAAAAATGATAAATAAGTACAATGATGTGGATTGATATGGAAATGACAGGGAGTGAAGAAAGTGTCCTTTCATAATCCGGTACCACCTCAGTATAACTGTGAAAAATATGGGAACATTGTGAGATATCACGACAAGCATAATATATAAAAGGTGAAGTTGGCTAATTCATCAGCCACTTTAAAGTCTTCAAATTATTAAAATATTAAAAAATCTTTTGGATTAAAAAAAGGTACTTTATATAAACTCATTATGGTTGATTTGTTTTTGATAATTTATTATCACAATACTTTGAGAATCCACACACAAAGTTTTAATGACCTCATAATGAACTTACCCATTACACTTTCAACTATCTATCTTTTACTTGAACTTTATATGACTTATTATCATATCAGTCTAGATCATACAAATCAAATTCCGGTACCATTCCTTTTTGAGTCAACTCATCTCTGCATAAATTCATCTTTTAAACCACTCTAAAACCATCAACCATCAGCTATCATTCCCATGCAGTCAATGTCTCTATGCAATGATCCCTACATTTATCCAGTATCCTAGCCAGTCACACTTATAAGGGGGGGCATTCCCCAAAATATGGGATCATTTTTTGAAGGGCATCCCCATTGTAATACAGTCGTCTTCCGCTAGGTAAGTGTTCTGGGAACACATAGGTATCAGTGTATCAGCTAGCATTGTGAAAGACTCCATTTGGCTTCAATCATTTTTTTTTTTTATATTCTTTCAACACATTTGCCCATTTAATGATGGGTGATCTATGAGCTCATCTGCCCATGCCATGCGAGTGTTCACCAGTTTCTGACAAAAATGACACGACCCCATGCCCTACCCTCCCTATTCACCTGATCTCATCCTGAACAACTTATGTTTCCTGTATAAAAAAGTCCTCAATAGGACACATTTTGCTGATGTGGAAAAGGTGAAAAAAATGACAGAAGCACTAAAAGGCATCAAAATTGACATGTTCAAAAACTGTTCTGAGTACTAGAAAAAGCATCTCAATAGGTGCAGTGAAGCAAATGGAGATTACTTTGAAGATGACAAAAGTTTAAACATGTAAGAATGGATACACAATTTTTTAAAATATAAATTCCAGTTTCTGTAGGGTCTACCTTCATATATCCATCTATTTAATGATACACACACACAACATCCCATTTTGCATCCATTCCAATTCTAACATCTAGGCATCTACCTATGCTTTCACTAAATAACGATTTCATTGAAGATGGCTGATGTGAGGCAACTAGCTAGAGTCGATGTCTTCTCTGGAAGAAACCAAGATAGAGAGAATTTCCTTACAGCCAGAGAGGAAGAAGACCAGCAGCATACCCCAAGACGACTCAAAGAAGTGATAATAACCAAAGAGTGCAAAGAAGAGAAAAATCCTGGGCTGAAACTTGTCAAACTCTTGTCTATACCACCATTGTCCACCAGCAGCCTCCGAACACAGTGAGGAAGGTGAATAAGGAGAAATCAGGAGTTCTGTGCTCCTACTGAGGACTTAAAGGGCCTCCTGAACTTTGTGGGACTCCAGTTCCTCACATGAAACTGCCTTGTCCATAGCCACTGAAGCCCATGTGGAGTGGTGCAGGAAAAAAGAAATCCTTGAGCAGCACCAGCTGCCATTTCCCAGAAACTCAACTCTTGTGGGCCATGTTGCTGCTTTCCAGCCAGCCTAGGAGGGCTGGGCCCCCACGAATTCCACAGCAGCAGATCGTTCCTGGCTGAAGTTGGATGTCATGAAGACACTTTAGGCCGGCTGCACTTTGACATTCACATAGTAAACTGCTTGAGATCAAGATGTGAAGACTATTACATCATTACATGGAAGAGTGTTAAGAATATACTTTCACCCCCCCTCCTATATTAAAAAAAATTCCTCCACATGTTTGCTCAACTTACCTACCCACTGATAATATTATCCAAAATGAACCAGGTGGGTCTCATTGCCACAGCAACTCTTCTGTGCCTGTCCTGCAAAGCAGCACTACCTCAGTGACGGGGGACTCCCTCCTAATCCCCACTGGGGTATCCAAGAGCCAAAAGTGGGATAGCACTCTTGTAGGGTGTTTAAGCTCTATCCCCTAACTCCATACTCTCTACCCACAAAAGGCTTAAAGCAGAGAACTTTAGGTAATCCCCAGAGTTTCACACTCCACCTAGGTGGGCTGGGCACTTCCTTGGAGCAACACACTCCAAGGAGAAAGAACACAGCCACCATTGCAGTTAGCTTTCCCAAATAAGTGCCACCTCCTGGCCAGAGTCAACATTACAGCCAACCACATAGGATAGAATACCTGTTAGTGGAAGGCATAATTTCCAACCACAGCTAAAACCACTTTCCAAGTGACTAAGGTTGCTATGAGCCACTGCAGAACTTCCACAGTTGGAAAATGAGAAACACACCACCCCAAGGCTATATATAGGCAAGGGAACCCTACAATGCACCCTGCAAACCTCACATAAGAAGCAATCACTGACCCAAATGAGAAGAAACCATAAATATCATTCTAAAAGTTTGAAAAAACACAATTATCCAACACCCCACAATTGACCACACCAACTATTCAGCAAGAAGCCCTAACCAAAAAAAAAATTTTTGAAGCCAGGCTCGGTGGCTCAGCCTGTAATCCCACGCCTTGGGAGGCTGAGGTGAGTGGATTGCCTGAACCCACAGATTCGAGACCCGCGGGTTCGAGACCCACCTGGGCAACTCGGTGAGACCTCATCTCTACAATAAATCAAAAAAAAAATGCCGGGTGTGGTAGTGTGTGCCTGTAGTTCCGGCTACTTGGAAGGCTGAGGTGGAAGGATGGCCGGAGCACAGCAGGTCGAGGCTGCGGTGGCCGGGAGCAGCCACTGCACTCCAGTCTGGGCGACATAGTGAGACTCCAACTCAAAAAAAAAATTTTTTTTTGAAATTCTAGATGTAGAATTTAAAAGCCTGATGATAAAATTGACCAATGAACATCACAAGAAAGTAGAAAATCAAAATTAAAATAAAAAATTAAGACACAAATGAAAAATTATCCAAAGAGAAACCTTAAAAAAAAAAAACTGAAATTCTGGAGATGAAAGCATTATTTATGGAAGTACAAATGCAATGGAAACTTTTAACAGTAGACTAGAACAAGCAGAAGAAAGGATCTCAGAACTATAAATGAGGTATTTGAATTAACCAAGCAGACAGCAATTAAAAAAGAAAAAAACAACAAGAGAATGTAAGTCTCCAAGAAATTTGAGATTATATTAAAAAGTCCCAATCTAGCTGGGCTTGGTGGCTCAGCCTGTAATCCCGTGCCTTTGGGAGGCTGAGGTGAGTAGACTGCCTGAGCCCACGGGTTCGAGACCCGCCTGGGCAACTTGGCAAGACCTCATCTCTACAATAAATCAAAAAATCAGCCAGCTTGATAGTGCATACCTGTAATTCTGGCTACTTGGAAGGCTGAGGCAGAAGGATCGCCGGAGCCCAGCAGATCGAGGCTGCGGTGGCCGGGAGCGGCCACTGCACTCCAGTCTGGGTGACAGAGTGAGACTCCAACTAAAAAAAAAAAAAAAACGCCCCAATCTAAGACTCTTAGGTATTGATGAGAAAAAAGAGAAAGCAACACGTTTGGAAAACCTACTGAGGGAATAATGGAGGATACTTCTGTGGCTTTGCCAGAGAGCAAAACAGCCATATAAAAGCCCAAAGAACCCCAAAAACGTATTGCAAAAAAGTAATCCTAAAGGCATACTATCATCCAGTTATGCAAAATTAAGGTGAAGGAAATAATATTGAGAGCAGTAAGACAAAAGCATCAAATAATTTACAAAGGTAAATTAACAGCAAGCTTCTCAGAAGAAACCCTACAAACCAGAAGGGATTGGGGTCCTCAAACAGAGTACCAGTCAGCCAAAGGTTTTTTATCTCATTAAATGAAGGAGAAATGAAGTCTTTCCCAGACAGTAAATGCTGAGGAATTTTTTCATGACTGGACCAGGTCGACAAGAAATACTCAAAGCAGTTCTAGACACTGAAACAAAAAACACTGAAACATATCAGTAGAACAAACCAACCCAAAGCTAGTAGAAGAAATAATGAAATTCAGAGCAAAACTAGATGCAGCAAAATACATAGTATAAATGAAACAAAAGTTGATTCTTAGAAAAGATAAACAATATTGACAGACTGTTAGCTATATTAAGAATCAAAGAGGGAAGATTCAAATTAGTTAGATCAGAAATGAAAATGGAAAATGGAAACATCACAACTGATAAGATGAAGATTCAAAAGGTCATCCAAGAGAATTCTAAATGCCTCTATGCAAGCAAACAAGAAAATCGAGAATAAATAAATTATTGAAACATACAATCCCTAACATTGAATAAAGAAGAAATACAAATCCTAAACAGACCAATATTAAGTAGCAAGACTGAAACCATAATCAGAAGTCTCCTAACAACAACAACAAAAAGTCCAGGACCTGGTGGACTCACAGCTTCATTCTACCAGACCTTCAAAAATTAAATGAAACCAATTTACTGAAACTATTCCACAATATTGAAGAGAAGGGAATCCTAACTAACTCATTCTGCGAACCCAGTATCACTCTGATACTGATGCCAGGAAAAGAAACAAGAAAAAAAGAAAACTACAAACCAACACCTTATATGAATGTAGACATGAAAATTTTCAACAAAATATTGGCAAACTGGATTCAACAGCATATAAATAGTAAAAATAATATACATTGGTCAAATGGGTTTTATCACAGGGATACAAGAGTGGTTCAACACACACAAGTCAGTAAGAGTAATCCACTACATAAACAGAATGACAAACAAAATTAAATAATCATTTCAATAGATGCAAAAAAGCATTTGATAAATCCCAGCATCCCTTCACGATGAAAACTTTCCACAAAACAGGCACAGAAGGAACATTCCCCAAAATAAAAACCAAATACAACAAACCCACAACCAATGTGATCCTGAATGGAAAAACAATGAACACATTCCCCCTCAGAACTTGAACAATACAACCATCCCCACCTTCACCACTCTTACTCAACATAGTACTAGAAGACCTATC